AACTGGGAGTAACCAACCCAACCTAAATCCTACACCAACAAACAACAACGAAATATCACTCCTAAAATTTCTTGATGAGTTTAAGTCAATTATTAATCCTCTAATATCCCTCCTCACTACAGTTCTTTTAACCCTCATTAAGCCCAATAATGTCAACTAACCTTACCACTTCAAAATCGCTTCTCATCCTAACTTGGAATTCCAACGGCCTAACAAAACACAAAAACGAACTACTAGCTACACTACAAAACAATAGAATTGACATCGCACTTATCTCAGAAACCCATTTTACAAATTCCTCACATTTCAATCTACCTGGCTTTCAAGTCTTTAAAACTAACCACCCGGATGGCACATCACATGCCGGAGCCGCCATCATAGTTAGGTCCTCACTAGTGTTCTATCCCCTACCACAATATCAAACAGATCATATACAAGCTTCTGGTATATCCCTTACACTAAACAATATCCCCATACATATCTACGCAGTATATTGTCCCCCTCGACATACCATCACTTTAAATCAATTTAATAACTTTTTCCTTACACTTGGTCAAAAATTCATCATAGGAGGTGACATTAACGCAAAGAACACACATTGGGGCTGTCGTGCGAATAACCCTCGTGGAAACACTCTTAAATTCCTAATCCAATCACAAAACTATAAAATTCATTCTCCTCCCTCTCCAACCTACTGGCCTACTTCACCCAGAAAAAAACCAGATATTCTCGACTTTTTCATATCTAAAATCCCAAATAGTCTACATACCTTGACATCCAACCTAAATGACCTGTGCTCTGATCACTCATCTGTCCTTTTAACAATTGATACTGCTCCCTTAAATAAACTAAAACAACCTAGTCTTATTCAAGGCCGGATGGATTGGGATAAATTCAGGTTAATGCTACAAAATCAAACCAATCTTAAACTTAGCCTAAAATCTCCTGATGAGATAGATGAAGCTGTACATCTCCTCACCAAATCAATTCAAGAAACAGCTTGGTCATGTTCCACTCCTTACCCTCCTACAATACACACTGAAAATCTTCCTTTACATATAAGAGTCCTTATCTCTGAAAAAAGAAGAGCCCGCGCTACCTGGCAAAGAACTAAATACCCCTCTGATAAACGGAAATTTAACAATCTATCTAATAAACTTAAAAGGATTCTAGCCTCAGTTAGATCTAAAAACTTCACCAGACATCTTATTTCCTTATCATCCAATGATAACTCACTCTGGCAAAATACAAGGAAAATCCTTCGATCCAAACCATTTGTACCTCCACTGAAAAAAGTCGACGGTACTTGGGCCATCAGTGATCTAGAAAAAGCCAACCTATATCGCCACCACTTAACGGCTATCTTCCAACCACACTATAATGTTATATGTCCAAACCAAATTGAAAAAGTAGGCAGTTTCCTCTCCTGCTCTTTACCCATGACTTTACCTCCTAAACACATTAGGCCAAGTGAAGTTAAACACGCAATTCAAAAATCTGCTAAACGAAAAACCTCAGGCTATGATCTAATTACTGCAGAAGTGGCAACCAACTACCAAAAAAAACTTTACTCCTACTAACTTAAATTTATAACTCTATAATCAGACTCTCCTACTTTCCAATTCTATGGAAATTTTCAGTGATCATCATGGTTCTCAAGCCAGGAAAACCCCGGACTCCCCGGAATCATATAGACCCATCAGTCTTCTTCCCTTATTTTCCAAGATTTTTGAAAAACTTATTTTAAAACGTACCCTCTCTACCATTGAAATCAACCTCCCTAACACCCAATTTGGTTTTCGACACAATCACTCAACTATACATCAAGTGCACCGCCTTGTTGACAAAATATCATACACACTAGAAAAAAAGCTAGTATGCACGGGTGCATTCCTAGACATGGCCCAGGCCTTCGACAAAGTGTGGCATGAAGGCCTCCTCTTTAAGCTAAAATCCTTTCTTCCTCCATATTTTTATCTATTATTTAAATCCTACTTAGAAAATAGAAATTTCGCCGTACGTTCAGGTTCCTCCTTGTCTGAAATATCTTCAATTCGTGCTGGTGTGCCTCAAGGTGCTGTCGCAGCCCCTTTATTATTTAATCTTTTTACCTCAGATCAGCCCACAACACCTTACACCACTACCGGTGACTTTGCCGACGATAAAGCTTTTCTAGCCCTCCACGCCGATCCTGTAACGGCGTCAAACTTCATCCAAAATCACCTAAATCTATTATCAACATGGTATAGAGATTGGGGGATAAAAATCAACGAGACTAAATCCATCCACTGCACATTCACTTTAAAACAAACAGACTGCCCTCATATTTATCTCAATAACATACCCCTTCCAACCGCTCAAAATGTTCGATACCTGGGTTTACACCTAGACCGGCGTCTTACTTGGGCAACTCATATCCACACTAAGCGTCTCGTCTTAAAAAACCGCCTCCGTCAATTACGCTTCCTTCTAATAACAAAACACCTCAACCTCCAAAACAAACTTTTAATTTACAAACTACTCCTCAAACCCATTTGGACCTATGGCATCCAGCTATGGGGAGCTGCCAAACCATCCAATATCTTTAAAATACAAACATTTCAAAATAAATGTCTCCGTCTATTAACAAAAGCCCCATTTTACGTCTCCAATGATACCCTCCACAAAGATCTCTCCATCCCAACAGTCCTTAACTCTGCCAAAACCTTCTACAAACGCCTACACTCCAAAACCTTTAGCCATAAAAACCCCCTGATCTCGGAACTATCCGTGCACACAATCCCTGGTGACCCCAGAAGGCGCCTAAAGCGAACGTGGTGTCGCGATCTATTGGTTGACTAATCCACGATCTCACACGTCATGAAGTACCAGCTCTGGCTGGCCTCTTCTAACAAGTCTACTGTATCAATATACAATTATATATTTGCCTACCATGTAATTTATCCTTTGTTCTTATTGTAATTACATTTATTACAGATTGTACAAATTCTAAATAAAAAAACAAAAAAAGAGTACCCACACTCGCAACCCCAGATGGACCACCACCCATAACTGGTAATGTTATGATAATATCTAAAATTGATTGTTGTAAAATTAATTAAAAATGTATAATTATTAATTCGCGAGTAATAGCAAAGTTAAACACTTAACTGAATTAACAGCAAAAAATTATTAGACAGAGGTACTTGGAATATTATAACTAAAAAAAAGCCAGTACAGCGGGGACGGGGAGGTTACAAGCTTACAAGAATTTTTACAGCTTAAATTAATAAAATCACTTTCAAATAAACGCTTCGGTGCGAATCAGTAGATAGTATTTTCAAGCCAGTACAGTCCAAACCAAGTACAGTATAGTCCCTACTATGCCCCGTCCCCATTTTACTGGTTTTTTCTTTTTTAAATGTTTAAAAAATTGTACAAATAAAAGCACAAAAAAAAATAACTTCGCAGAAACCTGATAACAAATTAAGAATTTTATAACACTTTTAAATGTTTTAATAAAATTCCATATAATTTACTTCTTATTATCTTAAGTCATTCTCTATAATAATAACGATAAAATATGTACTTTAATTTTAGTCATAAATATTCAAAATAGGTGCATTAAATATTTCTTATAAATTTTAACTCGATTTGACCCTTTTTATCGAAATTATAGCCAGTTAAAGTTGAAACTTTTAAACTAATATGTTTTTCCAAATTTTAACTGTGAAGAAGTGAACTTTTTTAACTGTTACCACCCCAAAAGTACCAACTAGATCAAATTTGTGATTTATAGAGTTGCTATTCAAAAGAATTGGTCCAGTATTAAAAAAATTACAGTGGACAGATAAAAAAAAAAGCCCACATCAGAGTAAAACCTATACCTATAATGAGTTTTAATAAATTGTTAAAATGGTTAATGTGCATTTTATTTTTCAAGAAAACTGGGTAATACTTTAAATGGAAGTAAGATGAAATAGGTTGAACATCATTGGTGTTTTGCAAATATTATAATATTTGAAGTATTTTTCTGTAAAACATTTTTTTACATAGGTTTACTATATATTTTTTTTACCTTTGGTGTTAACACCTTTTGTCGTCTAACCTAGGCTTAAGCAAATATACACAAAACACATGTGATATGCTACCGTAATTTGACTTTTGCATCTTGATGTAACCAAAAAAAAACAGCCATAGAATATATAAAAAAAATTCAATAATGTTTTGGACAAATTAGTTTTTAAGAATAATATACCATACCCTGATCTTTTATTAATTAAATAAACATAAATATTAGAACCAGTAAATGTTGAAACTTTAATTTCAAATCAATCCGACTCAATACCAAGTAGATACATTTTGTGATTTGTAGAGTTGCCACAAATAGCTCACATCATTGCAAAAACCAATAGGATCACTGCTCCACATCGAAGTTATAAAATCGATCTATTAATTTTGTAAACGCTCATTGCTTTGTATTCTACTCAATATTTAAATATTTATTATTGTAGCGACACCAAAAGTTCGAGGTAAATTTTAAAAATATCAGTGGTTTCATTTTAGGCCAATGCGATTTATAAATTATTTCAATTAATTGTTAGAAAAGTTTTTGTATATTTCGCAAATCGTCGCAAATCGTGATTTAAATACAATATATTAGTTTTGTATATTATTAAATACGATATGAATAATTAATTTAAGCAAGCTTTGCTTCTGTGTGACATAAGTCATAACTATATTAATTTCTAGCGTTAGTGTTATTTTCCTAACACTATAAACATCAACATCATACTAATAGTAGTACCAGAATAGCCTTAAGACGCGTAAGTACGTTCATTCCGTTTAGTTTAGGTAATGCAAATTGTGCTCTGCATTTTGAGTTGACCATAATATATGTAATATTATTGTACCAACACTAAGTAGAAACAAATTATTATAATACACTAAATAATAAATTACAAATTTACTTATTCAATGAATATTATTTTTATTGGTAGACATGTAACGACACAGTAAATAGTATTATATTATTTATTAACAAAATTTGTTTTGGAATAGTTGATTAAAAAAATAGGTATTATTAAATATTATTGTATTATTACAATATAATGATAGACAATGATGATATTATTATACATTTTAAAAATTACTTAGTAAATATTTTTATTTTCATGATGTGGCATTGATCTTGGATATTTTAGCTATGTTTGTACACATTAATTTGGCATTAGCGCGAACCGTCTAAAAAGCAATTAAATATTAAATGACTGTGTATAAACGTAATCGTTTACTAAAATTAGTTAATAAATTAATATTGTGATTTATATAAGTTAGGCTTCTTTATAAGTCACAACGTGCAGGATGTTAACATTTTTATTCAAGTAATGTAAAACATTTCGTCGATAAACTCCAATAATAAAATTCTGCCATTTCTTCCATTCTGTATTATCGGAATGTAGCACTCTACGTTTTTAACTGAGATTATTGCATTTTAAAAATTTATAAATGGCTTATATTTATTATCTATGATCAATCTCGAATACACCTTAAATGATTAATAGCCTCATGATAATCTTTTTATAGACTCACTTATATCGATCAGTGCTCGAAGTAATCTCGACATTGTGCTGATGAGGCAAGTAGTAGATGCTCGTAGTAAAAACATGACCGAATTGCATAATATTTATTTATTTATAGTTTATTCATGAACTTAGCTAAATATCCCACTCATTCCTTTATACCTCTATTAGAGAACGAAAGTCTCAAGTGGTTTACATTAAATTTATTCGGATGCATTAACCTCGTGCGCCATACAATATAATTGCATGATATATACTTTTATCTAACCTTTAGTTATTTCTCAACTGCTGAATGGTGGATGTACTACGGGTACTTCTTGCACTGAAACATAAAAAAAAATAACTCAAATAGTTGTCTTTTCCTATTTTGTTTTTTATTTTTCAAATACCTCTTTTGGTATAATAATTTTTAATTGTTGATCCAAAGTATGTAACTTTGCTAATGTTCACGAGTTATTAATTATAGATTTTTAATTAATTTTACAACAATATATTTTAGATGGATATTATCATCCAGCTTACCATCGTAGGGTGGTGATGGTGGCCGTTGTGGTTGTGCTGGTGCTGGTGTTGGTGTTGGGATAGATGGTAATGGTCCGTATACTTCTATAACTGACACATCGTACAAAATAAGTCAAATACTTGTTTATTCTGTTTTATTTTTATAGCCTATACGTATATTATTTTTTATAGTTTATACCTATATTACTTTAACTATAACTATAACTTTGTTTATAATCACGAATTAATAATTATACTTTTAATTATTTTTACAACAATCAATTTTAGATATTATCGTCCAACTTACCATTTAAGTGCCGTGGTCTTAAGGGAACTCGCGCATCTGAAACATCGAACAAAATATCTCCAAATAATTGTTTTTTCTATTTTAGCTTTTTTTGTGTCTGTATACAACACTGTAACTTTTTTAATACTGGACCAACTCCTTCGAGTAGCAACTCTACAAATCATAAATTTGATCTAGTTGGTACTTTTGGGGTGGTAACAGTTAAAAAAGTTCACTTCTTCACAGTTAAAATTTGGAAAAACATATTAGTTTAAAAGTTTTAACTTTAACTGGCTATAATTTCGATAAAAAGGGTCAAATCGAGTTAAAATTTATAAGAAATATTTAATGCACCTATTTTGAATATTTATGACTAAAATTAAAGTACATATTTTATCGTTATTATTATAGAGAATGACTTAAGATAATAAGAAGTAAATTATATGGAATTTTATTAAAACATTTAAAAGTGTTATAAAATTCTTAATTTGTTATCAGGTTTCTGCCAAGTTATTTTTTTTTGTGCTTTTATTTGTACAATTTTTTAAACATTTAAAAAAGAAAAAAACAGTAAAATGGGGACGGGGCATAGTGGGGACTATACTGTACTTGGTTTGGACTGTACTAGCTTGAAAATACTAACTACTGATTCGCACCGAAGCGTTTATTTGAAAGTGATTTTATTACTTTAAGTTGTAAAAATTCCTGTAAGCTTGTAACCTCCCCGTCCCCGCTGTACTGGCTTTTTTTTATTTATAATATTCCAAGTACCTCTGTCTAATAATTTTTTGCTGTTAATTCAGTTAAGTGTTTAACTTTGCTAATACTCGCGAATTAATAATTATACATTTTTAATTAATTTTACAACAATCAATTTTAGATATTATCATAACATTACCAGTTATGGGTGGTGGTCCTTCTGGGGTTGGGAGTGTGGGTACTCTTAAATCTGAAACATCGAACAAAATAAGTCAAATACTTGTTTAATTTTTATTTTTAAAAGTTATGCATACCTATATTACTTTAACCTATAGCTATAACTTTGCTTATGCCTACGAAATTCAATTTTTAAATAATTTTACAAATAGACATACAAGATTATAAAATATACTAATGAACATGGCAGAAGTATTCTTATTGTACTAACGTAAAACATTTATAATATTTTTAGCATTACTAAAATATAAAATGTTCCCCATTATTTTATAGGTAACTAACAAATCCAATAATTTCAGAAGGCTATCGTATATACATATTTATGGTTAATTTAATTATATTCTTGTCTTCAGTTGTAAATAATTGTAAGACTGCTACTATACTTATCTTTGTCAAGCACAAAAACTGATATTTTCATCCAACTTACCTGAAAAATAAAAATGTATACACAATTTCACATTTATTAGCAGTACCTAGTTAATTTAAGTTAACACTGGTCTTAAATATGAAACAAGTATAAGAAACATGTTAATACTGCTAAAGTATTTATATTTTCATTATATTTAAATCGTTTGAATAGGTACCTTCACGAGACCCTGAAACATAAAAAATAAATATGTATAATATAAAATTAAAATAAACATTAAACTATTTTTATACTTGTTTTTCTCTAAAAATTCTTTATTATTATTTTATTTATTATATTATAGCTTTATTGATATTGTTTTATGTACTCGATTTTTTTATGTACCTGTAGTTGCCGACAGCATGACGAAAAATGTTGCTGTTAAGAATAAAAAGCTTTTACAATACATAATGAATGAATTATATATATATTTTTCTTTCAAATGAAAACACTAATTCAAATTTTTATGTTAAACAACGAGAAAGTTGAATACTACACTAGGCCAGTGGGTGCATTTTCTTACATTATATATCCAACAATTGTATTATTTAGCATTATTTATTAGCATTATAATGTAAACAAGTTATAGCAAATATCCGATGAAATGACATATAAAAAACATTGTTATTATTTGTTTTTTTGTCGAAATTTATATTTGTTTTTCAAACGTATTTGATATTAAGTTCAGGCTTTGTTGACATGGTAATCCATATAATTTAACAACATGATACATGACATAATACATTTACAGAAAAAGTCAGTACATCAGATTCACAGACAGTTTTTGTAATGTATTTTATTTTCATTATTTTTACTGCAATTGTCTTAGAGCACATCAGCCCATGAATGATTTAACTATTTTAGTTCATGTATTAATTGAAGACCTTTTGAAAATATTAGATGTTTTTTCATTGTTATTACTTTTCTAAATAATTGTATATTTACTTTCTTGCACGGAAACGTATTGAAAACACATTTTAAGATGTGTTATTATTTATTGAAATAATAAGAAAACATTTTGATGTGATGTTTTGTATGCTAGTTCAAACAGCTACCTGTTAGTCATACACCAATGCAGTAAATAAGAAATGTATACAAAAAACAACATCTGTAATATTGACCTAGATATATTATTCATCGTCCTCCCTCCCTCCCCCCAGACTTGCCAGAACACATTGTCTGACATAGCGTCAACCTAATTATGACACCTTATAACTAGTGTGCATCATCTTTTAAAATAAATTTAAAATGTGAATTTACAGCGTTTTCTATTAAATCGAAACCTAGTTAGGAATGAAAGAAGAGACCCGCTGGACTCAATACTTCGTTTTACCCACCAGCTCGAAAAAATGGCAGGAGAGCCTAGCCCTTTCCCACCCTCGGTCCATTCTTGTAGAGTTATAGAAAATTGAAAATTAAGCGTTCATATAAGATACAACATACAGCCTTTTTTCAAATTCGTTTCATAATAATATGGCATGGGTATGATATTATCCGATCTACCTGTACATTATCTCATATTAAAACCAAGACAAATATCTAACTTCTCATATATTGTGCGTAAGCTTTTGTTTTTTTTCCATTCACAACAAATTCTGTAATAGTTATAAACATAAATTTATTTTCATTTCAATTGCCATACTTAAATGCTTTTTTGAAAATTAAGAAAAGAAAATGTTATCTGACAACCGTTGACTGTTGATTCGATTTACTTGGAATTTCATTTTAAAAAGGTAATAAATAAAAAGTAGGCTCCAATGAAAGGAATTAAGTAAAGCGACCATCTCATTTGGGGGATATGGTTTGAGAATTTTTTTGATAGTTTTCCATGACATTGATAGTATTATACTTAAAGTGTATTTCACACAAGTTGGGAAGTTTTTTTTATTAATTTATATGATATTACTTCTGCCGTTTTACTTTTACCTAGGGAGCTGACAATTGTAGCTATTGCTGTGTGTGTGTGGGTGATTTTTTTTTTATAAGGATTGGTGTTGAACAAAACCATCAACCGGAATTTTTATTCTTAATTAGTTAGTACAATACTAAACGTTTCAAAATGCATAATTCCGATTTCCGGTTATCACCACACTGTTAATGTGGATGGCTTATAAGAACAATTGGTTTTGATTATTATTACATAAGCAATTGACCAATACAAATAATGAAGGTGTAATAGGTAACAAATGTTACTTCACAAGGTTTAAAACGCTATGATATTGTTACTAAATAAATAGTTAATTATTATTACTAATTAAATATTAAACTGTCAAAAATGGCTGAAAGGGGATTGGAAGCCGTCAGTTTTTAAGGAGTTTTGTATAGGCAATATTTTAGAAGCTATCGGTTTTATATATATTTTAACGGTGTAAATTTAATTGCTAGTTAATTTGTATGAGCTTCAGAGTATTATCATTTTTAACGTACCTATAAGTTAAAGCCATTTTGGAGGTACAAGAAACCAATTTATACCTAAAAGCCTGATGCAATTTCGCCTACTTAAAATGGTCAGATTTTAGTCCTGTAAAAATATTTGAACTATTAAAAAAATATGATGTACCTATTCACTGTCATGATAATAACGACTGTACCTTTCCAAAAAAATAATTTTTTATATAAAGCGCCTTGAAGTGTTCTCTGGAATATTTTTCTCTTTAAATTTTATATTAGGTGCTTTAACTCTAAAACCAAAATTAAGCGAGCTCTACTGTGTCTACATAAATGTTTTTACCACCAATGTCACCGGGACAACGCTCTCTTAAGTAGATATTAAAAAAAAAAGGATAGATTCAAGTATTGTACAGTTCATTTAAACTTCAATCTACAACATTTTTCAATTTCATGAAACATGTTAAATATTTGGCATAGCTTAGACTAAATACAATAGTTAAAGCCAGTTTAGATTTTATACTTATAAGATATTTAGAAAATGCATGGCAAGTGTAAACACATTTAACACTTTCTTATTATAGACTACTGTTATTGGTATTTTATAATTTTTATGTAAGGTAGTAGCGTTAGGTCCGCAGCCAGCTATAAGCCCAAAAATGCCAAATCTAAACCGTTTAAGCCCCGATCGGTGGGAATAACAGACGTTAAACATAAGAGAGAGATGTAAGGTGCTACCATACTCATGAACACCCATGTGATAAGAAATATACTACAATGTGAGTATAACTATTAGGTCCATTACAATTGTTTTATTCACAAATCTGAAACCTCATAATTCAGATTTGTATAGAACTTACACACTTTTCAAATTTACCAATTTGATGATATGTCTAGATATAATTAAAAGTAAATGTTCACATTTTTAATTGTAAAAAATTATACAATATGTTAATGATAAAAATTGTAAATTCAAAATACATAAACATAAAAAATATAACAGCATTATAGTACATCTTAAAACCAATTGTATGTTTAAATATCAACACCAATGGATATAGGTGTCCATGAAGAAACTATCTTCTGAGAACACTTTGGACATTTGGCACTGCCAATATTTTTGCTGTAAGTCGTCAAACAATGGCCATGTATAAATTTATTACATGAAACACATTGAATTCCGTATGCTACAACACTCATACATCCCATGCATTTTTTACTTGAAAATTTTTCAACTAGGTATCCATCTAATTCACTAACTGCTAATGGTGATAAATAGATATTTTTTTCAGCGTCCGCTGTTAAATATTTTCTTCTAAACAAGTTATCCAATATGTCATAAAATGTATTGAAGGTTGTGTATTTTGCAATCATTTCGTCGTAAGGCACAACTCCTCCTGATAAAATTACAAAATTGACAATTTCAACAAACAGAGTTTTTACTGGATCTGTTTTACAATTAAAATCATCAACAAACAATGCAATAAACGCATAGTATATGTTACTATCTTGTTCGCAAACTCTTTTACTTATTTTGAATTCTAATGGCGCAATCTTGGTATTAATAAGTTCAATAGTATTGTCCAAGTCTTTTTCAGGAAAGAGACTTCCATTCACAATGTTCGCATCTTCTTCTGTTACCATTCTGTTAAACATAAAGTACTGCAAGAACTGTTTGTGTTTTTCTGAATAGGCCATCTTTAAATCGCTTTCAATAACTACCGGAAATACAAGAAATCCTATTATTACGGATAATGATTGTTATTTTTTAAATGAAACTAGGAAATTAATCATTTCTCTAGGTACTTACACGAATAATGTTTTTTTTTTTTGAACTAGGCGATATTTTAAGTGACGATAATTCAAATAAATTTGCAGATATTAAATAATACAAAACCGATAATTATTATGTAGTTATTAATAAATTAATAATAGAAAAGAAGAAATCCCGTTCGACGAACACCAGCACCACTTTTGAGTTTTGTCGTTGTAAGTCTTGTAACACAACAATGAGAATAAAGTTTTCAAAAATTGGTAGATAAATTCAACGACTATCCAATATATTATCTGAATTTAGGCAGAATGTAGCGGGAATTGTTGTATAACATAAAAAATGATAACGTGTGATAGGAAATAAAATATGTTACATAACCTTTAAAATACCTGTAGTGCTATCAGCGATTTTATCAAAAACCCGCCAAGAGAAATTTCGTATTTTAAAATCAAAAACATTGCCTTTAATTAGGTTCTTAGCTTTATTGCAAATTGTAGTTAAATATTTATCATTTCTGTATTGAAAAATGTATACTTGTGAATTGTAAAATGAAAAATGAATTGTAAAATTATACAATGTCAATTCATAATAATATATCTAATTTATAAGAAACACTTAAATTTTAAATGTTATAACATAATAATAATTTTATTGAAATTTCCCGCAAATTATTGATATTAATATTTAAATAAAACGTTATTTCTACTTATTACCTTAATTATTTGAAAATTTCAGAATTTTACTGCCTATTATAAATAATTATTAGTTTTACCACATCTTACATAGGTATTCTGTAGTTTAAAAATGTAGGTAGGAGTATTGTCTTCAATCGTGTCGTTTGAAAGAAACATTATTTACAAAAGTCGGTAGAGCAAAGAAAACGGAAGAACTGTCCCCAATCGTTTTTTGTCGCAATTTCTTATCATTGACTGGTCCGTATTGTAATACAATACGCTGTATTTAAAAGGGAATTCGAGAGCAGTGACTAGTTTTTTGATAATATTGGATAAACGTAAGTGAGTGTCAGATAATATTATTATATTAGTCATCGAATATCTTTCTTGATGACTAATTAATATCAAAATTTATAGATTTGAGATTTGTGACGCTGAATAAATATTTAAAAAGAACCTATCGCAGTTTTTTTTTTAATTTAAATTAAATTTTTAGTCATTACTAAGCTATGACCGATGTACAACTAGGTATGTTGAAGATGGAGCGGCCCGATTTACAGATATATATATAAAAATGACAAGTATATCCGTGATAATAAAACTTGAATATTTAATAAAGACAATTAAAAAAAAAAAAATTAAGAAGTCAAATTATTTATGTTATTACAAACTATGTGTTGAGTGTTAGAAAATAGATGTTACTTCACGTATCATGCCCAAACCGACCCTCATCTATAGTTTATGGTCCACTATACTACTAATTGTTTACATATTTCAATTTGAATTAAAAAATGTTAAATATTTTACACCATTTATTTTAATTTAAATGACCAATCGTTTTTAAGGGGCCTCTACGCTGGCATTTATTACGGCGAATTGTATAGACAATTTTTCGATAATTCTTAACATTAAGCTAAACATTTTTAAACATACCTACACCATAGAACATTATCATAGAAAAGAAGTATCTAATTTTATAATTCATTTTTTTTTCAACATTTGTAACGCATATTATAGCCTATATAGGATCTATTTTTGTACAAAAACATATATGTTTCTTTCTACTTCGAACGGTACTGTTCCTAAGAATACTTTGATTTAAGTTATGAAAAAACATTTGAATTCTTCATAACATTTTCAGCGCATTTTAACTGTGGCATAATTTAAAAATTATTTTTAGCTAATTAATTGTTTCAATGTAAAAAACTGAAAATGTAAACTTTTTTTTACTAAAATAATTAATTAACGAAAAAATAATTTTTAAGTTCTGTCACAGCCAAAATGCCAAGAAAATTTTATAAAGAATTCATATGTTATTTTCAAAAATTAAATCAGAGTATTCTTAGGAACAGTACGTTTGAAGTAGAATGAGTCGTTTTTGACCAAAAATATACTGATGTAGAGGCCCCATATTTATTATATGACTCACAATATCACAGCCGGTAAGCAGGTATCTTATCTATTTAAACCGGTGTTATCGTGAGCAAACAATTGATATAATAAGAAAAATTAAATAAATAATTAGAAAATGTTACTCGGCTTACTCCTCTTATGTTGCTATTGCTATAAGTATAACGTTTGCTGAATTACGTTGGTTGTTTTTTAGACAAATAAAAATCTAAAAATCTGAAAATATAAACAAGTAAGTGCTAAGTGGCTGTTTAATTACTCTTATTTCTAATTTAGTAATTTTCATTTATATCGTTTGACTTTTGCGTTTCGGATTTTACTGATTTTTTCTCTCCAAATTGTCCACCAAAACAATATAAAATTAAATTGTACTAATCTGTTAAAAATAATGTTTTTTTTTTAAATGGGCGAATCATTTTTTTTAATGTTCTTATACTGATACATCAAACACGTATTGAAACGTCTTTATCTGTTTACAAACTATTGTCAGAACACGCATTTCAAATTTCAGTTTTTTTTATTCATAGAATCTTACAAATCTTACATATAAATAAAAGTTGATAACTTTTTTAAAAATTTAAATTGTTTTTAAAAAAACCCTTACAAGGAACTTAATTTTGAGCATCAAAGTCCAATAAAAAATTAAATATTAAAAGTACCTATACGTAGTAAAAAAAAAATTCCCATATTTTCAAAAACGCATCACCCATAACGAGTTTAATTTAAAATCAGGATATTCTTATTGTGTTAAATAGTGTAAAAAACTATTAATCAAAAATTCAAGATCCAAAAGTCATCTTGTATGGTGTAAAACTTGACTTGGAACTGATATATTATGTTTTAGATAAGGCTAATTTTATAATTACTAAACAAACAAACGCAGAAAAAGTACACTTATATAATAATACAAGTAAAACAACTATGGATTTTGATATGCAAGAATATTTCAACAACTTTTATATATTCTTGAAGTAAGTCATAAGTGAGCTGTCATTAATTAATACACTCTGTGCAATTATTATTATCGATTAATATTTTAATTTTAATGTGCCTTTTCAAGTAGCGTACCGGTCTCCGTGGTGTATGAACTTCTTTCTTAACTGTACACATATATTAATTGAACTATTGGGGCAAAATACAACAATTTCCAGATAAATATTAAAAAATCAATATTATAATAAAAGCAATAGTTGGAAATAATGAAAATGTATAAAACCCCTGGTTAAAAATATTGTAAATTTTTGGTATTGTATATTTTGATATTGCTATTCAGAAAATGTTTTTTAACAATTGAAACTTATAGTTCTTTATTACTACTAAATTTTAGGGTTTAATTTCTGAAAATTAGACTAAAGGTAGATCTTGAATAGGCCTATTACATATACAATTGTCTCAAAAAACTAGTCAAATTTTGTTTTATTAAAGAAAATAAGTTTGATATTTATTTTCAGAAAATGTTTTTAACAATTAAATCTTAAAATTTTTTAAAACTACTAATGAAAATAAATATATTTTTCTAGGGACAAAGAATTTTGTGATGTAACCTTAGTTACTGATGAAGGCTTACAAATAGCAGCACACAAAATTATATTAGCTTCTGCGAGTCGTGTGTTTTATACGATGTTCAATGGTCATTTTAAAGAGAGAAATGAAAATGAGATTCTTTTAAAAGACATGGATTTTAAAATTTTAGAATCAATCGTCAATTTCATATACACTTTTAAAATTGATATTAAAGAAAATAATTTTGAGGTAAAAAATCCGCACTAGGATATGGTTGTTGCCTAGAAAAAAACTCCTATGTGCTAAAACCTAATTTTTCAGGAGACATAAAAACGATTTATAGTAGGTAACACATAAGAGGTTTTATTTTTTATTTATTCCACAATGAAGATAGCACGATGGAGATTTTATCTTATGATAACTTATGTTTTTTTGTATGCAGGGATACCAAAACCTCAAAAACGTAAAATTGGCACTTAGGAGGTTTTTATGCGGCAACAATGATATACAATTTATTAAACATATTGTTATAATTCTATTGTTAATTATAAAATAATATAATTGTTTAGAAACTATTGATGGCTGCCGAAATGTATGATATAAGTGGTATAAGAGAATTGTGTTTCAAATATATTAAAGAAAACATAAATCTTACAAATTGTGTTAGTATTATGAAGATTTCCGAGTTAATACAATCGGACAAAGAGATTAACAGTTTTTGTTGGGCGTATATTTTAAATAATTTCACGTGAGTTTTCTGGTTTTGAAGTAAGATTATAAATATTTTTGAAATAATAAAACATCAAATTTTTATAGCATGATTGTGAATTCGCCTTTAGAAGCAGAAAAACTATATGAGTTTCCAATTGGCGATGTCCTTAAAATTATTAAACATGATGATTTAGTAGTTGATTCTGAAGAAAAGGTTTCTAAATTAAGATTAAAAATATTGTTAAATTTTGCATTACCCTTAACTTGGTTAGGGCTAATTTTTAAAAATCTAAAATAATTGAAGAGTGAATTTTTCAAACGTTCTAAGTGCTAAAATATAAAAATTAAACTTTATAATTTGATTTCTATTTTACCCGTTGCGGGAAACAATTTTGTACATTTGTCAAGTGAGGAATAGTTGTTTATAAAAAAAAACAACCATATTTAACACTTAAAAATATGCTTAAGTGTTTCCGGTAATGAATAAAATACAAATCAAATTATAAAGTTCTATTTTTTTGCTTTGGCACTTAGAACGTTTGACAAATTCACTCTTCAATTAAAATACTAGTACTCTTTAGATTGGTCTTGGAAAGTCATAAAATAATGGCAATATTTTTAATGACACAATGCCAATTTAAAGGATAATTATTGTAACTTTTTTTAGAAAAATTAATTATTTTAATGTCATTACTATTGTTACAATTACCTATTGATAATATAACCACTTGTTTTAGGTATTTGATTTTATCATTGGTTGGATAAGCTATAACACAAATGAACGAACGCATATGTTGTTGGATCTAATGAAATGTATACGGTTACCTTTAATTTCAATTGAAGGACTTAAACGGATTTGTAATGAACCATTGGTATCAAATAACAAAGATTTTAAGTATACGTGTGAGTATTTTTCAATTGGGGTATGTTTGCATTCGCTCCACATTTTTGTCTTAAAAAAATATTGGCTGTTTTTATATTATTTTATTACTATACTCACAGATTTTTTATTATTATTTATGTTTAGTTATGATGGACATGTTAAAAGAAATGAACAATACAAAACCTCTATATACACAACGAAGAGTTCCTGCATCAAATGTATGTAGACATAATTTTTAAAACTAGATATTTACATGTTATAGGAACACCTGAAAATTGTTTTATATATTTGTATTTAGATTATTGTTGCAATTAATGGTCCTTTCTTTAGAGGCGATTCCTGTATAAAGTATATGGATATTAAAAACTATGATGACTTAAAATGGAAATCGAGTGATCATTTATTTTTTTTTCCTCCACGTTTACATACAACGATGGTGCTCTCGGAAAATGGGATAATACTTGCCATTGGTGGGGTAGGTGAGTCTGCTAATTATGTCAATCTCATAGATGAGCTTGATCTTACGTCAAAATCAAAGCAATGGGTTACTACAAGGCCATTGAATCAACCACGAATAAATTTTGCTGTTTGTACTTACAAGCAGTACATATATGTCGTATGTATTAATTTGATTGTAGTTTACATAACGAAAACACATTGTTTACAAGATAATGTTTTTTTTATTTATATGATATAGGTCGGAGGCTGTGATTTCTCAAGTGAGAATATGTCGAATTCTGTAGAATACTATGATACAAATTCAAAAGTATGGACCGAAATTATTGAACCAATGCCCACTGCTCGAGCCTTGTGCAGCTCTACAATATTTAGTAATAAATTATATGTTGTAAGTAAACACAATTTTACCATAAAAGCCATGCATAAGTACTAAATAAGTTTCTACTTGTATTTTATTAATTTGTACAACAAAATAATTGTAAAATATTCATTTTAATAAGTTAATATGGTTCGTAAGAATCTAATCATGTACTATTGTTTTATATAGTTTGGTGGAGATAATGGTAATTTTCTTGCAACTGTAGAATACTATGATTTTGAAAAGAAACATTGGAAAAAACTGGATCCTATGCCGATTTGTAATTATCGCATTGGTATATCAACAATAGAAAATGTAATTTATCTTGTTGGTGGTCGTAGAGCACCTGAACGAGTTTTTAAGTTCGATTTACAACATTATAAATGGGATGAAATGCCTAAAATGAACATGGCAACATATGGAGATTGCTCAAGTCTGTATATATTTATTCGAGTAGGTAAATTATACATTATTTTACTCATAATTATTTTAAAATGCAGGTGTTGTTATCATGAAAAACGACTTATTCGTGTTTGTGAATGATGGAGGAACAGTTCATTGTGAAAGATATGACAAAGAAGAAAAACAATGGAAATTGGTAGACAAGGCAGGAGAGCAATCATACGAATTTTGTCATATGATTACTTTTAATGATACTGCTCTTAAATCCTATAGTATATATTTATAATATTTTTTTTTTTCCATTTTGTTGTTGATGATACTTTGGGAGAACTTTATTATGTAAGATATGACACAGAAAAAAATACATGGTGCTAGTTGACAGGGCTATCTAGAGATCTAGGGAGCTATCAAATGATTTTTCTCAAAATATTATTGCTTTTAATGATGTTAATATCTGAAAATATCATGGTATTCACAAAAAAAATTTTTTTATTAATAAAATCTTATGAGTAAAAATTAGTTTTAAAATTATTTATTTACTTTTTTTGTCCTTTAACTTTGATTGCAAACTATACAGTACATACTTACGGCATAACTTAATTAGGATTTAAGAAAATCATAAGAAAACTTCAAGAATTGTTTCCCTTGTACAAACCATGTCTTAGATTAAACATATGTAGGTAATTGTTATAGGTATTTATAGTATATTATGTTTGTAAATCCATTAACTAATACAGGCGCCGAATGACCATGGCTCAAGCAAACGGTGAAAATCTTACATAATATACACATTTCAACAAGACTGTTCTTATATCTTGTTACTGCAGTTTGTCCTAACGGTATACATTTATAATTCGAACTTTAAAACAAATATGATATTTTCCCTATAATATCATTATTGGATTTCGTAATAGGTAGTGGGGTTTTGTGTGTTAAACTAATGGTTAAAGTAAATATTGAAGGTGGTAGTATAAATGAGTAAATATTCATGGCATGACAAAATGATAAAAGCAGAGTATTTATGTATATCTTAAGGTCATTAGTACAATTGTACTAAATAACTGTCCTACTTTTTTCCTGTAGTGGTCGCACAGTCTTAACATTTTGATGGAAAATTCGGCGATTTTTTTATACTTCAATTAAAAAGGGTTATATTAAAGTAAATAAAAACAAAAAAAAAGTGAATTTTACAAACAGTTAATCAAAACGAAGCTATTAGAGATATCAACAAAACCGACGTTAAACCAAAACCTATTAATTCAAACGTGGATATTTATATATATTAAAAAAGAACAATTTATCTAACTAAATAATTAAAAATAGTCGTTAAAATGCATTACGATTATTGTAGAAATTGCATTTTTTAAAAGAAATTTCAAAAGACTACGGCTATATTGATTGATGTTGTAAACTTCAAAGTTCAATCAAATTCTATTTCACTAAAAAAAAAAAGCTTCACACGCATATTTAAACTAATATACAGGTTGATATGAAAGATTCCAAAATAACCCCTCGACAAATTATCTTTTCGAAGGAGAAAAATTACAACGACCTTAAAATATCATTGTATGATAAAAACTAAAAATGATTCACAATGGTATTTTTTCATAATTTTAGAAAGTTTTCAGTAAGTCAGATGGGCCATGAAATTCTAAAGACCCTGTTTTTGTCGACGTTGGGTGCACATTATTATAACGCAACCTCAATATGGGTATCTAAATAATATTTAGCCTTTTCAACGTGTACAATTTTTTTTTTTATAAACGATTACTTCATGTAAACCGTGGAAATAAAAACGCATATCAAATCACACAAGCGTTTTTCTAAAGTAAAAACATTGTTTTTTCGAGTTGCGCCAAACAATGCTATTTCAAATAAAAAATCGTATTTTTTATTTTTGTTTACTTTTAAGCTCGGTGTTACTTTTGAAACACACGCGACAATGCGAAAAACTATATAAAAACCTAACTTTCTTACAATTCAAATATTTTATACATGTAAACGTGGTCTTATCATTAATGAATCACCCTGTATATATATATATATATATATATATATATATATATATATATATATATACCAATATAACTCTTAGGATTCTGATGACCATTAAGATAAATCAATCAATTTGTTTAATATATTAAAATATTAGAATAACAGGATTTAGTAATAAATTTGTCGGTACACGTGTATTAATATGTGGTGTTATTTTAACAATGAAGTATTATTTTGTTTTCGTCATCGATGCGCCTTAAAGTAGTCAGAGGAAACGAATATATAGCCAAATAACGACTGAAAACGCATAGTACTTTTCTTAGGGGTTTAAAAAGTCCCTTGAAGGTCGACTTTTTAAACTTAAATGGTAACATATACACTTAATTACTTTTTAAATAAAGAATATTTTGCCAAAAATTTAGAGCAATTTCTAACAATTTATACTTCGATTCTCTTTTTGATATTAATTCCTTAGAGTAACAATAATTGGGGAAAATAGTGAAATTTTTATAAACAATCGAACAATCGTTGGCATTAGTGACAACCTTATTTTTTTTTTGCAATACAGCTGCTATGGCTGACTACACAAATAAAAAAATGAATGTCTTCGTAGCTTGGCACTACAAAACATATTATTTACTGTGCGTATTGAGAAATTTAGTACCTACATTTTTTTACCCCTAGAGATTTAACTTTTCTTATTATTGTCGTACTGGTAAAATTACTTGCCGATATTCTTTTATGTCCTCACTTCCTAAATTTACATTTTTAAAAAAATACTTATTGTAAAAAAAATACAGATTTTTTTTTTTCAATAAAAGAGATTTTTTAAATAAAAAATTTAAAAAAAAACTTAAATTTAATACAATGGAGCGATTTACATAAATGTGGAGTATGTATTCCCCCCCCCTATCTTGTGTCCAACTAGGCATGGGCTGATGTTCGGCTGGGTTTATGCCGTTTTCGGGCTAGTCATGGACCGCTATAGTCCACCAAACTGGCACAACTTAAAATTTAGGTAATTTCAGGTCTCTTGCTATATTTTTTTATATAAAAAATGGTCTACCACCACAAGTCGTAACCCAACCAACGCCTCTATAATACATTTAAATTAAAAAATAGAAAAAACTTTTCTAGTTTTTCTAAATTTCTAGAAAAGATAAAAAAATTAGAAAAACTAGAAAAAATAGAAAAACTGGAAAAACTAGAAAAACTTTTCTAGTTTTTTTAGTTTTTCTAGTTTTTCTAGTTTTTTTCATCTTTTCTAGAAAAACTAGAAAAACTAGAAAAACTAGAAAAACTAGAAAAACTAGAAAAACTAGAAAAACTAGAAAAACAAGAAAAACTTTTCTAGTTTTTCTATTTCTCTAGTTTTTCTAGTTTTTTTAGTTTTTCTAGTTTTTCTAGTTTTTCTAGTTTTTCTAGAAAAGATGAAAAAAACTAGAAAAACTAGAAAAACTAGAAAAACTAGAAAAACTAAAAAAACTAGAAAAACTTTTCTAGTTTTTCTAAATTTCTAGAAAAGATGGAAAAATTAGAAAAACTAGAAAAACTTTTCTTTTTAGTATTAAGTATATTTAAATTTGGTTTTTATCCTACTTTGATTATAATTATAAGTTTACTTGTTATAATATTTAATACTTGTTTTTTAAAGTTACATTTTGTTTTTATAATTTTTTTGTTAAGTATATAATATACTTAATTTTATTAAGGTATTAATAAAACAAATATTTTATGTTCAATGAAAAATTGATTTAAATTTTGATTTTTATCCTATTTTGATTATGATTTTTTTTTTGCACTGTCTAATTTTAGCATGAAGAAATAAAGGTGTACCCAAAACCAATTATTAAGGGAGATTAAATCCTACGAGTACTATTTTATGAGGAGGGATACCCCACTTTCTCTAGTTCCTTTTGAATACTTGTCCCGCTTTTATAGAATTTTGATCTGGTTACTTTAGATATCACAGTATAGATTATAGAAACTGTACAAAATAAACTGATGTGATCTGATGGAACACAAAATATACACACCATAAGTGAAAATAAGAAAAAAATAACTATTGTTTGAAATCGGGACAAAAGCGGGACGTCGATTAAAAGTCGGTACATCTTACTGTCCCGATTTGATCACCATATTTAGCGGGACACCTGCTTGAATATCGGTACTGTCCCGCCAAAATCGGGACGTCTGGTCACACTAGGTTTAGGCACAAAATAATTGTGTTATTCTGTGGTTTAGGGTTGGTCACGCTGATAAAATGAAAATTTGTGTTATCATTTGGAAGAACTCTTATCTCTTATCAATATTTGTAAGAACATAGTAAGAACATCCGCTACAGTGCTGTATGTGGGGCCGCCACAATAATATATACTCACGTGTAAATTATCAATGTTCAATGTTGATTGTTATAAACTATAATATTTACACTTGACAATTGACTTCTGTACATTGTTAAGTAGAGTAAATTTTGTTGGTTTTACGTAGTTTTTGAAAAATGAGTAAAAAAAAAGGAAGCGGAAGTAGTGGTCATAGTTTTGGTCGAGCGTTGATCAAAGACAGGTTTGGTCGAAGCAACAAAACATTAAATCGTGACTCATTTGTAAGTTATTACTTATTATTATGTATTTTTAATATAGTAATTAGTGATATATATCATGTTAAATATAAGTAGATAGTCTATTGTCGTACGAAATACGGCAACCGTTATGATCACAATATTTGCGTCCAAAATTGGACTGCGGTTAAAATGTATGTCATAGTCATCCTTGTATGTTTATTCAATGTAATTATATTTTAGTAAATATGAACGTATTCTTTCATTTAGCTGCATACTGCTGACTTGGCTGATGGTTATGACTGGGGTAGACTTAACTTACAATCAGTAACTGAACAAAGTTCATTTGAAGAGTTTCTGTCTACAGCTGAATTAGCTGGAACTGAATTTACAGTGAGTATCAATTTGAATAATAAATAATAATTAATCCCAAAATTCCAAGCGTTTATAAGTTTGTGTAGTTGTTTTAGAACCTGTTGAATGTATCAACCAAAATAATTTTTTTTTATTAAATTTTTAAATTTAATTGTTTTATTTGTTATGACACTTCTATAAAATGTTGGTACACGATAGCTCTACTTTCAGTCTTATATTCAAATCTTAAATTCAAAAACTCTACCGAAAGGGGCAGGGAAAAATAAAAAGTTTTCATTCCTTTGTGGCGAAAGAACATTCTTAATACAGTTTTTTTACCCATTTCAAAACATTTTTGACAATTATTTTATTAATATTATCTTGCATATTTAGCTAATATTTCTTGGCTTTATTTAACAATTATGTTGTAATAATTTACAAACTTTAAATGCATAGTATATAATTGTAAGATGCAATAAAAAACATTCCTTTTTACTATAATATGTAGTTTTTAAATTTTAATGGCTTGTATATAGGCCGAGAAATTAAATGTTGAATTTGTACCCGAATCTCGTATGGTTGGTACTTTGACTAAAGAAGAAAGATCCAAAATTGAACTAACTCACAAAGAATTCAAACATTTCATAAAAATTCCTCGAAGGTAAAATTGTTTGAAATAAATTTAAAATATAATTTTCAACTATTTACTTACCTAAATTTATAGACCAAAATGGGATGGCAAAACTACTCCTGAAGAATTGGAAACTAAAGAAAAACAGAATTTCTTAGATTGGCGCCGTAATTTAGCTGAATTCCAAGAAGAAAAAGAATTAATTCTGACTCCTTATGAGAAAAATCTGGACTTTTGGAGACAACTTTGGAGAGTTGTTGAGAGAAGTGATGTATTAGTGCAAATCGTGGACGCTCGGAATCCTTTACTTTTTTATTGTGATGATTTGGAAAAATATGCAAAAGAAGTAGATAAAATGAAAACGAATTTGTTATTACTAAATAAATCAGACTTGTTGACGGTTGCACAACGAAAGTACTGGGCAAAATATTTTGACTCTAGAGGTGTGTCGGTAGCATTTTATTCAGCTAAGCAAAGTGAAGAAACTATAGAAGAAGGAAATGAAGAAGCTGAAGAACAAGTAAAAGTTCAAATCCTTGAAATTGTAATTACATAATTATTCATAAGTAAAATTTGTATTTATCTAGTCTGAAAAAAAAGTTGAAGATGAAGTAGAAGAAAATGAAATAGAAGACGAAGAAGAAGAAGTTACCGAGGAAGATTGGAACAGTTCGGATTTTGAAACTGATGAAGAAGAAGAGGTAATTGGAGACGTTGTTGGTAAGTTAATATTAATTTGTTTTCTAATTAAAAATAAATAAAATCAATTAAACACTTTCAGAAGAGTGTCCGAAATTCAAGAACTCATTTGACTTGTTGTCAAAAGAAGAACTGATTACTTTCTTCAAGACAATTCATGGTAATCGAAAACGTCTATGCGATAGTTTTGTTACAGTAGGATTAGTAGGTTATCCAAATGTCGGTAAGAGTTCTACAATCAACACTCTATTAGCCAATAAAAAAGTATCTGTGTCATCCACTCCGGGAAAGACAAAACATTTTCAGGTTTACACAAATCTAACAAGTCTAAGATATTATTTTGACATAACGTCAAGTCTAATTCTTAAATTATTTTTTTGCAGACTCTTTTCGTAGACAAAGACTTAATGTTATGCGACTGTCCGGGTTTAGTGATGCCAAGTTTTGTATTTACAAAAGCAGATCTCATTGTCAATGGAATCCTTTCAATTGATCAAATGAGAGACCATCGGCCCCCTATGAACATGATCTGTTCTCAAATACCAAGGCACATACTAGAAGACCAATATAGTATAATGATTACGAAACCATTAGAAGGAGATGATCCTGATAGACCTCCAACTGCAGACGAATTCCTCAATGCTTATGCTTGTAATTTACTAGTCTAACCAATAGCTATAATAATTATGTACATTTAATAAATTTAATGTTTGAAAACCGATTTCTAGGTAGTAGAGGGTATATGACAGCTAACGGTCAACCTGATGGTGCTCGAGCAGCTCGAGTTATTCTAAAGCATTATGTTAGCGGTCGTTTATTGTTTTGCGTCGCACCTCCAGATATTGATCAACTAAAATTTCATTCTTTTCCACTGCCTGATGAAAATCGAGCCGTCAAGACATTCACGCCGTTTGAAAATATTCTTCTCAAGGTACATATTTTATATATCTGATTAATTTTTAATATGTTTTGGTTTTCTAATCTAATTTATATATTTTTTTATAAACAAATTAGAAAAATGTTTTGTACAAAAAGGTTAATTTGTTTATATTTTAGCCAAACGTAACGTCTGGATCAGATTTGGATAGAATGTTTTTCCAAAAAACCACAATGGGACCACACAGTAAAGGCATGAAAAAAGTAGATATAATGGGAAAGGACAACAACCAGTCTCAATCGATTCAATCTAAACCATGGAAAAATCATAAAGAAAAGCGGAACAAACATGAAAAGTTGAGACGTCAATTTCGACATCTTGATATATAACTAAATAATTAAACTACTTTATTTCTTTTGACATGTCATGGTATACTTGTGATATTTCTTAAAACTGTTTTTATTCACGATGTACAAACAATTTAATCATAGATGTTAAAACCACAATAATAATAGCCTTGTAGTTTATCATGGCTTTCTCTTGTTTTTTTTGTTTTGGAACCTATCTAATACGTTGAATCTGACTGATCGTACTTCATAATTATCGTTTGTTTCCACTTTAGGGCGGCTATTCAAAGCTCTAACAAATTCCTGTAAAATAAATATAAATCATACAAAATAAGTTTAACTATATAAAACAATTATAAAATATAACCACTGTTCATTATATCAAAATATTAAATTTTGGTAATATTTTGAACCTCTTAAATATAATATTACACTACATGATTGTGAAAAAATTACCTTGGTTTTTTCTTCAAATATTTTTTCTTTAACTTTTGATGGATTTGCTTGAGTCTTTCTTTTCAATTTATTTTTTACCTTGATATTTATTCTTGAAGGTTTCCCAATCTACAAAAATGTAATATTAAAAATTACTGAATTATATTTTCTAATATGATTAAACTCACATTAAGTGATTTCTTCTGCTCCAACCTAGTTTTTAGAGTATCAACATCGACTTCATCTACATTTGACTCTAAAACAATCATTTCTGCTGGAATCTAAAATTATATATGTATATTAGACACACCTTAATCATAAAAGACAATTATAGCAATTCACTTTTTCAAGAAGCATTTTGACTTCAGCTTCTTTACGTTGCTTCTTGGTTTGGAAAGGATTGCGTTCTAAAGCATCAAAGTTAGGTTCTCCACTGCCTAAAAAAAACAAAAATTTGTTAAACTAACCAAAAAAAAAATTATATATAATTAAATGAGAAAAGCAATATTAAAAATAATCCTTAAGTACCAGGTATTAATAAACTAGAAAAACCTCCATCATGGCCAGCTCCCAGAACGTCTTCAAATGGACAAAAAGCCAAGTTATTTATCGTTCTTGCTATATTGTGTCTCAAATAAGCGTGCGTTACTGTTTTGGTACAACATTCTTCATACACCTGGATAGATAAATTAAATATTCAGCAATAATAATTTTTGACTCGTTACTTGTTAACGTTAACTTACATCGACTACATTATTAATAGCAACTGCCAAACAACCCTTCTGGCTAAATACCATATCTCTTGGACTAGTGCGTAGTTTGTATTCTTGTAGTGGTCCATTTAATTTACGAATATCCCAAATTCTTAGATTTCTATCCATACCCGAAGTTGCCATGTACCTGAAAAACATAAATTAAATAAATTTCATACTTGAACATTTTGAATTAATTAAGTTTTTTTAAAACATACGTTCCATTTGAATTAACTGCAAGCGATGTAACTGGATTTCCATGACAGAGAATTTTCGCTACAGGTTCTCGTAGGTTAGGACTCCACATAGATACTACACCTAAAATGGAGAAAACAAATTATATTATAAGGCTAAAAATCCAACTAACGATAATGCAATATTTAAATTACCTTTAGTATTTCCAAGGCAAACTAAGGCATTACTCGGGTTTTGTGTCATCAGACTTAAGCGACCCATTTTAGCATTAAATTGTTCTACCAATTTTCCTATTGAGACATCCAACCATGACAAAAATCCTTCTTCACTCTATACAAATTATACGATGATAATAAGTTGTACAGTACAGTTAGAGATTAAAAAATTTGATTTCACTGACAAAGAAAAGTCATATCAACGGTGTCACCGATTTCAATGAAACTTAGCTAAGTGAAAATAAAAAATGATCTTATTTTGAAGTTTTTGTTAACGAGTCTTAAATAGGGAATAAATTGTTTTTGAAGTTCACCAAACTCTTTAAACAGATGAAATAGTTAATAAATAAGATGGATTAGTTAAAAATGAATTTCTTGTCTTTTACTTTCATCCAAGCAATTGTATTTTAAAAAATCTCAATGGCGATCGCGCTATGAAATTTATTTTGTAAATGATTACAAATTTAGAATTCTCCTTAGTTTAAAAAAATACATTTAATACAAATTTTATGATTTAAATTTTTAGTGCATAAAAATATTATATTTATACAACTTTTTTAAAAACAAAAAACCTAGCAATAGTAATAACCATAAAATTTCAGGTACTCACAGCAGTACTCAAAAGGAAATGATATGGAAGAAATTCTTGGTGCAATACATTATTTAAGGATTTTAAACAATGTACTTCCACACCTTGATTATCATATATATAAACCCATTTTTTTTGTGCAACAGAAAATAAGTTTTCATTATGTAACCATCTGAAATAAAAAATGTATATAAGATTAAAAATTTGAATAATTTATTTTTCAACTAATAACATACTTTACGTCATAAACTTCTTCCATGACATTTATTTCACACATTAAATATTTTGTAACCCAATCCATAGCAGCCACATGGCCTTTCCTTCCTCCAATTAATAACTGACGGCCATTAAGAGAATAATCAATACTAAAACACAATTTAATGATTAGTAAAAAAAGAAGTGGAACTAATCTAGTTTATCAGGTACCCTTTTTTTAGTGTTTATTTTAATCGATAGTACGTTTAATGCTGATTGCGAATTTGCAAAAAAATGTTGCCGGATGAACTTAGTTTGGACAATACTTACGGCGAGATCCTAAAATAACATCTTATCCAAATCGGGTTTTTATTGCAATATAGATATTGAAATGTTATGCTTAACCTGTTATGCTTAAAATGCCATAAGCTACCAAAATAGCTAACGAGAATGATGTAAATTTATACAATTTAAAAGAATTGAGTTTACAAGAGAATGGTTTCTTTTTAATTAAAATATGATGTCATTTAATGTTTTTAATTAATTTAATTTTTATTATTTATAATAGTGTTTCATTGCGTCAATGTTCTTTTACTGGTCTCGCTTACCTCTACTTTCCATTTGTGGTTTTGTTAATTTATGGTCAATAAATTACTCATTCAGCGTTATTCAAATGCAGCTTCGATTGGCTAATTAAACTGATGTGGATTGGGGATCTTTGTCTGTGTCATAAAGTATATTAATATCTGTATGCACACACAGACAAACTAGACAAAGGTATTACAGCAGGAAAAAAAGAACCATGACAGGCGGGGGAAGTAGACCTGTCGGCAGAACAGGTAGACGTGCGCCCGCATATTTCAATATCGGCAAACTTCAAATGTCTATAACTCCCAAACTAAGATCATCCGTCAAAAGTTTTTTGCAGATTTGTAATCAGCATTAAAAGTACTATCGATTAAAAAAAAGGGTATCCCGTAAACTAGATTTACCAAAGAAATAAGTCTATATAAATGTAACATTGTTTTAACAGTAAAATAAGATATAATAAATAAATTATTGTATCAAAACTATTATAATATCAACTTACTCATAAGGGCCAAAGTCTAGACACAAATCAAAATGTTTCTGTGCACTCGTTACATCAACTGAATTGGCGAGCTGTGTTTGAGTAATTTTAGTTGTCTTCTCCCCTGGTTCTGGAATAACATATCTGCAATGATAGTTTACATATTATAGATAATTTTACAATTAAATCAATTTTAAATTAATCTGAAAATACCCAGAATTTTCAGGTAGCAGAACACTTGTCGCATCCAATAATTTGGCACCTAATTTGTCTTTGTTCTCTCTTCTTATTCTACGTTGATGAACTCTCCCCATCTGACATAATAAAAAAAAACAATCATATATAATTATGAATTGAAATTAAAAGGTATTAAACTAAATGTAGCAACTAGTAGTATTCTTACGTTTTACTTTGTCTTAGAACATTACTTTCAGATTTGTTAATGCTAAAAAATGATTGATAATAAATTCAATGTATGAAAAATGAAACATGCAGTACCAAATTTCGGATTAATTATTAGTATTCGGTTATTACAATTTACAGCATGCTTGTTAGCTGTTGATTTCATTCTTTATTCTATAGTTGATTGTTGATTTCCTCTAACGCTATCAACTATATTATTAATTATTATCACGGTTCTACATGTGTACTGTTGTAGGTTAACCGCGGTCGGCAATGCGAGATATTTCGTAGAAGAAAAAATTACCTTAGGCAATTTGAATGGTTAAGTTCCATGAGAATCCTTCACTATGCTCATTGACCACGGTTATAGATAAATCGGTTTATCTATAACCGTGTCATGGACCAATACTTATCAAAATATACCAACATCAGCTCCATTCTACAGTAATGATAAAAGTCTAATCGTTGTTATTATTATATTCGATAGTATTTCTATTTTTATTCGATAATTAGAAACGATATTTTGATTTTCACTTTCTGGAAAACCAGTTAATAGCTCTGTAGTCAAAAGTATTTAAATAAAACGGCAACATGCCTGTAGCAGAGGAAACTGTGTCTATATCCGACGTTATCAGTCAACTTCAAGACTACAGTCCTACTGTGAGTATCCTCTTATCAACTGCACATCAATCAGTACTAGACTTAAGTGTAATACCCAAGAAATAAGTTAATATTTTTTCGTTTTTTGGCGTAGATACCTGATGCTATTACTGCTGCTATATGTTCAGAATCTGGATTTGAAACGAGTGATCCACGAATGTAAGTCCATCGTATATAACTTCTAAACTTTCTGCACTACTAGTAGTTTGCTGGGAGTACCTATTTTTTTTCATTTAAATATGTAATAATGTTACAGAATTCGACTAATATCTATCGCATCACAAAAATTCATTGCTGATATTGCAAATGATGCACTTCAGCATTGCCGAGTACGTATGGCTACTATGCCTTCCAAGTCCGGAAAAGTCCCAAAAGATCGCAAGTTTACACTAACCATGGAAGACTTAACTCCAGCACTTAATGAATATGGCATTGTAGTTCGCAAACCACCATACTTTGTATAATTATATAAATTTACGTATTTTAATTTAGGATAATATTATATTGACGCAAAAAAAATGTATAGAAATTCATCACCTAAAAGTATAGAGTTAATACTTAAAAGTTTATAATAACTATTTGATTTTTTTTCTTATGTAAACATTTTGTACTTAAAATAAAAAATACATTTTTTTATTATGTTAAATTCTTTGTATAAAATATAGCTTTTACAATGATTTTATTCATTTTTACTTAAATAGTTTTATAATTAAAATGTTTATCTTTTTTAATTATTTGTATGAATTAATCAACTTTCGAAATTCAAAAGGCAAGCCAATTATGGGGTTATTACTTATTAGTATATTGACGTTATTGTTACCTTGAACGTAGAAAATATATTCATTGACAATAGTTATTGTTTTGAGTAAAATTCTGACCGCTCTACTAAAGGTTTATTCAATTTTTTTTATAAAAATTTAAGAAAGTACGAGGAAAAATGTAACTATTTAAGAATGTCTATTAATTCATTTGATGAATTAATGAAACTGCTCCAGCAAAATTTAATGGGTCAACAGACAAATATGAGAGAACGTATTTCACCTGTGGAAAAATTAGTCGTAACTTCAAGGTAAATTGGAATTTTGGTGAATAAATACTTATGTGTATGTACAAGCTGGCATATAAACTATTACATTGAACTAACTAAAATATGTTAACTATAAAAATAACAATACCCAAATTATAAAAAATACCTATTACAAAAGTATTTATTAAATAAATAAAAATATAGACGTACCTATTAAAATTTAAAAAAATACATATTCACTGTCGGATTTAAAAATAAATGAGATAGTTGGGTGTTAATTAACTTTTTTTTAAATTGACAAAATGTAATTTTATTATAATTGATTTAGTTGAATATATGAGTTGGAAGAATTTTCATTTAAAGTGTACCTAGTCGTTAAACTAGTGTAGTTAAAGAAGCTGATTGATTATTAGTTAGATCATTTTTAATTACATTCATTAAATCCATTTTAACTATATTACGTAAGGCTCAGGTATTTGTTTTAAAGGTTTTAACATAAAAACAATCTGTCAAAAAAAATTACACTTTAGTGTAATGCGTCAATTATTTTATTTTTCGTATGGGTTTATTGAAGTAGCTTTTTTTTCTTTAAAATTAGGTTCATTATGTTGGATACTTGATCACTAGAGGGGGCCCTCTAAACCATCTCCACTTTCAACGGAGTCTGATATTATATTTGCTTCTGTAGGCTTATTTCGAATAATTGGTTTTAAAAATAATATAACTGATTGTAGTAAACATGAGGATTTTTTCTAGAAGTTTCGGATACGGATTTAAGTTTTTCAATTGTGCCCAATTCTCTAGAGAAACAATCGCGTAAATTTTTCCATTTGCGGTGCAAATTTATTACTTAAGAATTAAATTTTGTATGGAAGTATGTATTAGAACATATTTGACATTTTTTAACTACATCAAACATTGTTTGATTTTTTAACACGTTCAACGCCGCTTTCGACATCATTAACATTCTAAGGATATATTTGGTTTGGATGTTTTTTTACGGAACTACAACCGTTAATCGCCTCGGAATTTCCACTTTATCTGGACTTGTTGCACAAGTTTGTGAAGTTCTATGGGATAAATTAAAAGAAGTATGCATGCCTCAACAGAGGAAATTGGCTCGAAATTTCATATAAATTTGAAACGTTCACAAATATTTCAAATTCTACAGCCGCCGTCAGTGGTAAATACATCAGAGTAATAAAGCCCACCGACACCGGTTCGTTGCATTACAATTACAAGCATTATTATTTTTAGATTGTATCGATTGGTGTATGTGATGCTAACTACTCATTTATCGCCGTAGATGTTGTAGGTGCCTACAGGAAAAGTAGTGATTCCGTCAACTTTTAAAGGATCTTTATTTTATAAAATGAACAATTCTCTCAATATTCCTAATCCGAATAATATGATGATACTTTAATAATTCAAGGATTACCAATAGTATTAGCAAATAAATATAGGTAATCAAAACAACCGTCAGCCAGCATTTGTAAATCTATGTTATCTAGAACAAAACAACAATTTTGAATTTAAACATAAACATGAATAATATTATATGTTATTATTGGGGCATGATGTGGTGCAGTTGTCAGACTTTTAAAACATTGAAACGACCTGTAATAAACTGTAATAAAATTAGATATTATTTGTCAAGTTCTTGAAACTTGTTCTATTCAGTACATGTATCGGATAGAATTTGGGTAAAGTTGAGTATTTTTAATATGATAATAATTAATATAATAATTAATAATAATTGATTAACACCATAGGTATATTATGTTTTAATTATAAAAATACTTAAAATGGAAGCTTTGCTGAAACAGAGTAACTAAAAAATAGATCATTATATACTTCTGAATCTATAACCTATATTCATTACGCTCTTGATATTATAAAATAAGTATATATTTAAGTATAAATTATTACTTTTAAATAATTTTTTTGACTACCTATCTTGTAAAATTTTAATTAAGTGATTTTGTGTTGCATAAATTATACTAAATATACTAAAATTTGCAATCAATGATTTATTAGATAGTAAATATATAACAGCATGTATATTTCTTTTCTATTTCACTTCACCAACAGAATTATTTGTTGTTGTGGTCGTTTTCCGCAGTGAGTTTATTAGGAGTGGGACGGGCCATCATTGCCGGTGAAACATGAATAATACGTGGGGGCCCTGGGCAAAGTGAAAAACAACGTGTAGGTCGGTCCCATACAAGGTATATGTATATTGATCGTCGGTGGTGAAGACTTGACCGCCATCGTCTTCGCCGTCGGTGTACCAAATACCAATAATTAAATTCACCATTAACAAATTTGTTGGCACCCTTATATTCGCCTAAGTGCGACAGCATAATAATTAGGTGTACTGATCGATTTTCAATTTTCTTAACAACCCCCCCCCCAGAGGTTACAATAAACGCTTGATCGACGCCGTTAACATTCCCCCCCGCCGGAACGAGGTCAGTACGTGGTGCCGGGCCGCGCTTGTCAGCTGCTTGTGCTCGACGGTGGCTCGGGGTAAGCGTGCGGCGACGGCGCTTCGGCGGTTGGGGGCTCGCGTGTCGCTGCCGCCGCCAGCGGCATAGTCAATCCGTAGTGCCGTCACCGCCGCGTACGCGTTACGTACGGGACGACCCAGCGGCCGCCGTGTGGCCGCCCAACGCCCGGGACACCGCGGACGCTTTGTCATTCGTTGTGTTTACACGTACGCTCGCGACACGTCGCGCTTACCGCCGCGGGTTGCGCGTTTATTATCGTTGTTGTTAGGCATTTGCCAATGTTTTAATGTAAGTTATTTTATTACTTTGACATGGACCCAATAGGATATTAATATAATAATTAATATGCAGCCACTGCTGCGCAAATGAAGACCGTCGTCCACCGACAGAGCCGGGGCTCTCGTTAAGACACCGGATCGGGGGCCGACCACGAAAACAACGTATGGCGCCCAGAAAGAAGCGCAGGCCAATCTTTGAACTGGCCGTAAGTACAAGTATAATACCATACCATTTCAACTTCAGTAGTGCTAAGCTTATAGCTATAAGGTCGTTTTGCGCGATACACGTGCCACGTGGCCCAGGGTAGGTAATATCGTTAGGGTCTGGTTAACTTACACGAAGCACTACCGCCTACAGGGATCGCCACCACATAATACATTTAGGTAAAGCCAGTAGAACATGTATTTTAAATAGCGTTAACATACACCGTTGCGTGTAGTAGACCTATTTGTGTTTACCTACCAGCCTAAAAAATATTATTAACAAATATCCAGATTTAGCTTTTAAATAATCGAATCGAAATATAGACTCACTATAGGACTTTCACTAAACGTACAGCAAATGAAAACTTAAGTCACACTGTAGTATCGACTTGTTTAAATTCACTCTCTCGCACAATGTTTGTGATTAAAAAAAGCACTGTCCGCCGACGATTGAATCGATACGAAGCAAATTGTCGAGTTCGTTGTTTAGATTTTAAGGCTGTTAAATACTGTTTAATAAACCACTATGCATTGTTGTTGTGTGTTAACTGCGTTGTTGCCGCAGTGTCGTACATGACCTGCACTAATAATTCAATATTTTATCTGCAATGCAAACGGTACTTCACAAATAGTAAAACCCACTAGTATCTACTAAAAAACTATATTACAGATCACCGTTCATCATAATATTATAGTTTTTCTGTAGTTGGCAGTTGCATATTTTAACATGCACAATAATACAGTTTTCCACGTGATAAACATCATGGGTCCATTTAAATAAAGTCATTACTCATTATTTTTATTTTTTAACTAGGTAAAATTGTTTTTTGTCAATACATACCACAGACATTAGAGAAATAATATTATAATCTCTATAACAAGTATTGTTTGATAAAAAAAAAGCTCTTGTTAATGTATAATTATTATTCGCAAATCGCAGTGGTATGAATGAGCCCAGTTCTCTATCTAAGTACCGAATTGGATTGTTTGTAGACAATGTCATTAAGTATGCTTGGGTCAAAACCGATAAATCCGGGTTTCAATAAAAATAAATCCATCCGCATAGCATCACTTGGAATCCCTCTTTTTTTTTTAAAACGTTTTACAAACTTTTCTTCAACGAGCGTATCAATAAAAAGGATTTATTTTCTTAAAAAAAAAAAGGCAAACAAATCGTCAATGACAAAGGCTCAATAATGAAACGCTTTTAAGCTTAATAAACGTTTGCGGTCGTATAAAGCAATGAGCATCAACGGCGGGTTGGGTTAACAAATATGTACTTAATGTTAAGTATTTTATGAGAGGTTTTATCGTCTTGCTCTTGCATTAAAAAAAAAAACCAAACGTGTTTCAAACGGTTTGTTGATTTATACGAACGGTAAAATCTGTGCTAAACAACTGAGCAAATAAAAGTCAATCGGCGTTGTTTGTTCAAACAAGTTAAACCAATTTTTATGTATAATAGTTTATATTGGTGTATTGAAACAGCATAAATGTACTTGGTACCTAACTAATTTTTTGGTTAACGCTTTCCGATTAAGTCAATTTAGTTACATACGCTGTGTAGTAGAATTTGATTTGTACTTACTTATTTGTACATCAAACTATTACGTATAACCACTGTTTA